AGGTTGATAGTAAAAGGATTGGAAAAGATGTATTAGACAAGCAGTAATCATTGAAGGTTGGAGTAGCTTTATAAACATCAAATAAAGTGAACTTTGAGACAAAGAGTATTGCCAGAGATAGAGACATTTTATAATGATGACAGGCCCAATACATCAGGAAGACATAACTCCCATAAACGTGCTGAAACCTAATAACTAGGCTTTAAAACAGATGAAAGAAAATTGACAGACTTAAAGAGAAAAATAGATAAATTCACAATCATGGTAGATTTTATCATCCCCCTCTCAACAGTTGATACACCAACTAGGGAGAAAAATCAGTAAAGAGCTAGGAAATCTATAAACACTCCTCCATCGACCACCTTGACCTAACTGACAATTATATAACCGCCCCCCCCGCCCCGCAACTGCAGAATAGATATTATTTCAAGTGTGCATGGTACACTTGATCAACTCTATGCTGGGCCATTAGGCAAGCCTCAGTACATTTCAAGATTGGAATCTAAGAGTACTCACTGTGAGCCCTTGGCTTGCATTATACCACTCAGTCCTTCACAGTAGCCCTAAGAGATTTGTATTATTAGATTCCAATTTTACAATAAAGCAAAGGCTTAGGAAGCTAAAAGCCACTTTATTCACCAGACTTCACAGTTACTTCAGCAAACTAAACAACAAATACACTCATTCTTAGAACTACATCCTCCACACACATACTTGCAGGTAATAAGAAAACTACAGGACTCAAGGACGGAAGACTCAGTGGTGGGCCTGCCTCTAACTAGCTGTGTGCCCCTGGTAAGCCACTTGCCCTCCCTGAGTCGGTCAACTCCCCTATATACAGTAGACGAGGTACAAACTGCCAGCCCCATTTCACACACCAAAAATTGAGCCCTAGTTTAGATGCATTAGGCCACCCTGCTTGTAAGTGACACCGCCACAGTGCAGTCCAGGTCTGTGTGACTGCAGAGACCACATGTTCACCAACTCCAGCACACCTGAGATAGGCCTTGCAGCACAAGACTAGACTTGCACCCCGAGCAGAAGCCTATAATAAGACCTAACACAGTAAAGTGCACCTTTTCAAAGAGTTTTGCACATGCTAACTCTGATTTACAGATAATTAAAGACAGGTAGAGTGAAGTTGTCAAGCAAACCCTTTCTGGGGTCAGTCTATCTGGATTTGAATCTAGTTCTGCCACTTGTTTGCTTCCTAATCTAGGACCCACTCAGCCCTACTTTCTCTTATCTGTAAAATGGAACTAAAAATAGTACTTCACTCACCGTGAGGATAAACGAGTTAAAATATATAAAGTGCTAGAACAGTGAGAGGTATGCAGTAAGGACCACAAGAAGTGCTGCCGTCAGCTCACCTGACTGACTTGACCAGGATTACTACACTGCCAGCTGTGCAAACCCCAACCCTTGCTTCTGCTCGCCTTTTCCATAAAACCCCAAAGCTTCTACTAGCACTGAAGCCAGATCTTGAAGTTCCATATCTGTCCTTTCTGCCACGACCATGCTGATTATAGCGCCATTCCTGCCTTTCACGGCTACTCTGCGTTGTTATGGGGCAGGTGGCCAAGCCTGGCCTATTCTGACCCCAGAGCCAAGGATTTTGCCCCAAAACACCAGTAACAATAGCTGTAAACACGACAGAACATGAATCACAGCTGAACAAAAAACCAGGTCTGGGATTGTGAAACGTAAGTTACAATTCTAACTGTTCTGTAAAAGCATTAAAAAAAAAAAAAAAAAAACCCATAAAATTACCATTGAGATAGGAACTGAAAACAAAGGCCCTCTAGGAGCTCTCCCTAATGGCACTGCCCAGCACCCTGGCTTTTTCCAAGGTGCTCCCCTGTGCCGTGATACCCTCCCACACAGGACCACTGAGCTGCAACTGTCCTGTGGCCCTGTCCACTGCCATCCAGCCCTGCAGAGCAGGGGTAGCCTGTGCCCCAGGGCCCTGGCCAGCTCCGTGCAGAGCCCAGCTGAGAGAACCACACTGCCATCGTGTGGGCTCCTCCGCTTACAGCTGCTGCTCTAACCAGCGTCCTCTCCCAGGCTGGAACCTCAAAACATGTCCTCAGACAGCCTACACTGGTGGGCTGGATCCTGGGGGCTTGGAGGGGAGTCGGCAGTCCAGGGCCAAGACAGATGCTTCTAGGGACAGTAAGGCATCTTCAGGATTCCACCTCCTAAACAAGGCACAGTGACTCAAACCTGTAATCCCAGCTTCAGAGGCCAAGGCAGGAAAATTACAAATTCAAAGCCAGCCTAGGCAACTTAGAGAAACTCTGTCTCAAAATAAAAAATAAAAAGGGCTGCAAATGTAGCTCAGTGATAGGGCACTTGCCTAGCACACAAGAAGCCCTGGGTTCATCTCAGCACCTCCTAGTCTCTGACCCGGACAACAAGCTCCTTGACATTTATGTGCCTCAGTTTCCTCATCTATAAGACAGAGGCTGCCACAGTCCTAGCCTCATAGGGCTGAAGGATTCAATGCGTTAATATGCATAGGGTACTTAGAACACTGCCAAGAGTTTCACAGCTCTTCAATAAACAGGATCTTTCAAACCCTTTGACCATGACCTATTTTTAGAAAAAGAACATTACTATCACCACGTTGGTTATGCAGACATATAGATATAACACCAACAGATGTTTCACAAAGCAACACTTATAACACACAGCACTCTGGTATTTTCAACTCTATTCTGTTTTTGTTTTGTTTTGGTATCAGGGATCGAACTCTGGACCTTGCCCTAGCAAGGCAGGCACCAGCACTACTGAGCTAAATCCCCTCCCCAGCCCCAATGTATGTTTGTTTGTTTAAGCTGCTCACAACACACTAAACTAATTTCACAAACCCACTAATTGCTCCTATCTCAGAGTCTAAAAACCACTTCCATAAGCTTAGTCCAGGCTGTCAGTCCTGGCTTCCTTTCCTTTGTTTCCTGCCTTGTGACTAAGTCAGACCCAGGCAGGTCAGCTCTGGCTGGACAGAGGACCCACCGCATAGCTGAGGAGTCCCTTGGAAGCCTGCTGAGAGCTCACAGGCTCTCTGCCTGTAGGAGGGAAGGGGATTCCACCAGGCACTGACAATGTGGCAGCCCCCATGCTCTGTCCTATAACCTCCCAGCCCCTCTATGAGAAAGGCACTGTTCTTCTCATTTCCCAGTTGAGAAGCCTGAGGCCAAGAGAGGAGATGTGAAAATGGGCAGGAAGGAGCACCCCTACCAGATAGCATCTGGTAGTATTAGCAACAGCTGCAGTGAGGGAGGTTGACCTCAGTAGGAGCCATGGCACTTAGGGGAGTCTCACAATGGCTCTTATCCAGAGTGAGGGCAGATCAGACAGGGTGGAAAGGCCATGCCTGCCTACACCTGATCTAGGTACCTGCCTATGGTGGAAAAGGGACTCTATTAACTGCAAAGCTGCCATGGCGACCGGTGGCCAAAGCAGATAGACCTGTTCCAAGGATTTCCTCACCCTGTCTCAGAGGAAGAGCCCTACACAGCACTGTGGACTTGCCAACTGGACAGAGGACAAACCAAAGCACAGTGCGGCCAAGATGAGCTGAAAGAAGTGGAAAAAGACACGGCAATGATTTTGGAAGGGTATAATAGGGCCGTGTAATGTGATGAGCAAAATGGGATTCGGAGTCAGAAGATTTGATTTGGGTCACTGCTCTCTGTTCATGGGAACAAATAATCACTGAGTACCTCAAGTGATGCATCAACAATGCAGAAATAGATGGACCCTCAGGGGCTGACAGTAGAGTGAGGAGTGAGGAATAAAGGACAGACAATAAATCTAGTAGCATTTTCTTGAGCAGAGAGTAGAAGGAAAAGCCTTCCAGTCACAGGAGGCAATAACTGCAAATCTCCTGCAGGGACAGGAGAGACGTTTCAGCAAATTCTGGAAATGAGGAATTCCCACTGGCTGGACTAGATTGAAATGGATGTGGTAGAAGAGGCCCTGCTGATTTACCAGCTTCTTGGCTTGGAAAAGTCACATAACCCATCTGACTATAAAGCACTCCCTGAGATGTCCCAAGATACTCAGTTTAGTGAGCATTTATTGAACATCTACTGTGAGCCAGGAACTGTACCAGGCTGGCACTGGGCATATGGAGATGACTAGAAAATCCCTACTCTCAGGAAGCATAAAATCTTTTGGAAGATACAGACACCACAATGTGTTATGAAGAGTTATGAACAAAGCACTAGAGAAAAAGGAAGCAATTAATGCTGCTCAGAGAAAAGGTGATGAGATGTTCTGAGAAGAGAGGGGGGAAAATAACATTAAGCAAAGGCATAGCAGATACGTATCATAGAACAAATATAGTCACAGAACTGTATGAGGCTGTGAATGGTTGAAATATAAGGTAGAGCATGCAGAGAGGACAAACAGCAGCTATGACACCACCCAGGGCCATGCAGATGCCTGGAACTTTGCCGTTCCCGACAGTGGAAAGGATGTGGAAGGAAGGCTTCGGCCCAAGCAGGTTCACAGGCCACCGCACTTTTCCTGGAGCCACACAGGCGCCTAACCAGGACCTAGTTTCCAACAGCTCCAGAGACAAGGTTGAGGGGCTCATGAGCACTACTAGCCCTGCTCTTCCGGGAATGGGAAGCTGAAGCCCTCAGGGGCCGAGTGACTTTGAGATCGTACAGTTGTGCCGGGCAGTCAAGGGCCACAAAGTGGCCTCTTGAAATCTAGGTAGGGTGTCTTGCCTTTAAAGGGAACTACATCTTTGAGGAACTTAGCTTTCTCATGTGAAATATGGAGAATCAGGAACTTCAACTTCTAGGAGTCGCTGGGACACAAGGTCAACGGCGAACAGGGTGATAGCGCCTGCTCAGTTTGCAAAATCCAAAACCGTGCCTTCTGCCCACCCCCTTCTCCCTTAGGTAAGGTCCCTCGCAAGATCCGCCTCCTCCCAACTCCTCTTCCGGCCCTTTCCCCTAGGGCCCGCCCATCTTTTCCGGTTCCTACCCGAGGCTCCGCCCGCTCAACTGTGCCTTCTTCCGCCATTCCCATTGGCACAAAAATCTGAGCTGCCCCTCAAATTGCCTAGTCCCGGAAGTGACGTTAGCCCCGCCCCTAAGGAAGTGACGACCGGCCTGCCCTTGAAAGGCAGGGAGGGTTGGGTGGTGCAACCCTCCGCTCGCTCCTCAGGGAGGTAGGAAGCCCACGGGGGTGGCTTGGGGTGGTGTCGCGACCGAGGCACGCAGCCAGCGTGCTCCTGAGAAAGCTGGCTGCGAGCGGGCAGGGGATCGTGGCCCTCTGGAGAACTGACATGCCTGACGGCGCCCTACTTCCCCAGTTCCCTCCACACATGTGTCCGTCCTTTTGGGTTCCCTCCACACACGTCCCTTCTTTTTTGCCCCCCCCCCCAACTCTTGTTCTGTGCCTCTTGAGTTCCTGCTTCAATAGTTTCGGTTCCTCTTTGCTAAAGCTTAGGTAGTTCTTTTTTTCCCCCCTCCTTAATTGCCCATTAAAACACTTTTTATAAATAATCATTAAAGTAAGGACTTTACAGGCAGCCTTGGGTTCCAGTGTTGACTGTCCCTTAATATTTGGGTTACTTTGGGCATGTCATTTATCCTGCCTGAGCCTTCGATTCCTTATCTGCAATGTAGACAATACTATAGCAACTTCTTAAGAGTTGTTCTGACAGAACCAGTGGTGTACCTAACGCAGGGCCCTCTGCAGATGCTCTGCAAATGTTGCCTCGTCCCTCCCGTCCTTCTGTTGTAATTCCATGTAGACCTTGATTTTTGGTTGGCAACCCAGTTTTTCTGTCCTCCAGTTTTACCATCTTCCCTTTGATTCTCATTCTTCACTCACCTGTACTCCAGAAATCTTACACGTTACAATATTCCCTTGCGTTTTGCTTCCAGCTGTACATCTTCCCGAGCCCCGCCCCAGTACTCCCAAATCCCCCTTTTCCCCCTAGTATGTTGACTTCCTGCTGTGTACCCCAGCTTCTGCTTCTTTTCCCTCACAGATGGCACAGCGATTTCTCCTGAGAAGGTTCCTGGCCTCCATCATCTCCAGGAAGCTCCCTCAGGATCGGTGGGCACCCCTCACCTCCAAGGCCCTGCAGATCCCACAGTGCAGTCCTGGTGGCCTGACAGTAACACCCAGCCCAGCCCGGACAATATTCACCACCAGAGTATGCTCCACAACCTTTAACATCCAGGATGGACCTGACTTTCAAGACCGAGTGGTCAACAGTGAGACACCAGTAGTTGTGGATTTCCATGCACAGTGAGTAGTGAGGGTCAGTGAAGGACTAGGGTCTTACCTGTTCAGGTATTTATTAGTGCCTGCTATGTCTCAGGACTATATTTGATGCTTCTCATTCATAAACTCATTACAAAGGCTGATAAGACCAGGCTCTGCTCTTAAGGAGCAAGCAGAGTGGTGGGAGACAGACTAGTAAACAGTCTTCAATACTGACTGTGATTACTGCTAGGGAACATCTGTGTTCTGTGTGTCACTGTCCAAAAAGCTCAGAGTAATCTTTGGCTTGGACCAAAGTTTGGAAGAATATGGCCACAGCATTATCTGTGTATACCAGGTCCTGGCCCGACAGATAAGTTGATTTTATTTTGATGTCTTGCCACTAAAACTGTGGGGAGGGCTGACAAAAAGTTACCAGGTGCACCATGTGTCCAGGGGAGGCTGCAGGAGGTCCTGTGGCCTGATTTTTAATCTCACCCTCTTTTTTTTCCAGACCCTTAGGCTCTGGTCAGACCCTACCAACAGAAAAGCCAGACAGACCCCCTCATAAGGAAAGATCTTAGGAGGAGCCAATGTCATCTGAGTTAGAAATTGGGAGGTTTTCTGGGCAAGGCACTGACAGATTATTTGCTTTCTTTTTGGTTCCAACCCTGTTGCCATGGGCAACCTATTTGATGTTCTTGAGCTCCCTTTCTTCCTTTGGAGATAAGGTCTCGCAGACCTGTATTTAAGTAGGTTCGTTGATTGATTGAAATCTCTGAATGGAAAGGGTTTTAAAGTCTGAGAATAAAAGAGTAGTTGTCTGCAGGGATTTGTAGAAGACAAGTTATCCTGCCCTCCTCCTGGTGTAGTGATAGGGCTCCTGAAACAAATGATCAATAGGGCAACACCTCACTTTATTTAACAAGGAAGGGAGTACAAGTTGGTTCATTCAGTGCCAGGCACTCCTTGGTGCCACATACAGAGATGACAGCTCAGCATCAGGTCTGGAACAGTGCTCCCACTGCCCCCTGCTAAGTGGGGCTCACCTGTGTCCATGCGGTGTGAATGGGGCAGTGACAGCAGTTAACACGGCTGAGGGATCATGGAGTAACCCTGAGGAGATGCTTTGAACACAACTTTGGGTTACAGTCCGAGCTCTGCCGTCCTGCAAGGTTTCTTAACTCACATGGGCCTCAAGATGATGCTTTCTCTTAAGAGTTCTGTGCAGTAAGAGCTGAGAAGGTGCTGGCACAGGCACTGGCACTGGCACCTGTAGACTTCCCATTGGCTTCCCCTCCTTGAGTTCTGAGTCCACGGGGTCCCTGTGGGTCAAGGGGGATTCTGAGGATGCCGCAGATCGGGTGAACACTGACTGGCTGCATCCTTTCTCTGCTTCCGAGGTGGTGTGGCCCCTGCAAGATCCTGGGGCCAAGGTTAGAGAAGATGGTGGCCAAGCAGCGTGGGAAGGTGGTGATGGCCAAGGTGGATATTGATGACCACACAGACCTCGCCATTGAGTATGAGGTATGGATTGGCAGGAGTGCCACCGGGTGGAGAGTGGCAAGGGAACCCAGGGGTGGCTGGTATAGGAGATACCAGGTAGGGGACCACCAGGTAGCCAGTAAGGGGAGTGTCTGGGATTTTTTAGACTGTAGGAGCTTGGAGAGCTTTGCAAATGTGACTGTGTTTATCCTTAGTCACTTACCTCTTTACCGCCTTTGGGGAGTGGTTGTGTGACCCAGGCACCGGCTTGTTCTCAGCACCAGGACATTGATGCATTCCTACTTCCTTCATCCATCCACATGTGTACTCTGCAGTCATTTAAGAGCCCTCCCCGTGCCAGCATGCATGGTTCCTGCACAGATAAGGGGTATCCTTGTCCCCAAGCCACTGTTGGTCTCTTAGGGGACAATGATGGGTAGACAGGACATTTCAGCATGGGGGAGAGGTGCTGAGAGGTGAGGCAGCAGAGGAGGGATGGACTCATTCGTGGGAAGACACTGCATGAGACCTTCTGAGCAACCCTTGAGGCTGCACAGAGAGGGCTCACACCGGGATGTGACATCTCACATGGTCGGCTGGTTTGCACAGTCAGCCAGCAGCTGTTTATTGAGAGTCCTTCAGTTGCCAGGCAGTTACTGGGGCACAGGATGTCTCAGTGATCAAAACCGACAAACTCCCTGCCTTCATATGGAGCATGTATTCAAAATGCCATTCTAGCATTTTAAGTTAGGGGTCAGCACACTTTTTCTACGGGACCAAGTGTGAATATTTGAGGCTTTGTGGGCAGTGGTCTCTGCCACAAGCACCAAGCTGTCCTTGTCGCCGTAAGCAACCTTGGACAGTGAACACATGAAAGAGCTTGGCCATGTCCTAAGAATACAGTGGCATTGGGCTGGGGATTTAGCTCAGTGGTTCCGCCGCCTGCCTCGCAAGCGGAAGGACCCGAGTTTGATACCCAGTACCAAAAAAAAAGAAAGAATACAGCGACATGAATATTTGCAGTGCCAGGCGCCAGGCTGAGGGTGGAGTTCGTTCGCTGACCTCTGTCTTCAGTACATGTTGACTGTCAACATTGGTGGTGCAAAAATTTTCGATTTTAGAGCGTTTCAGATTTGGGAGTTTTTGGATTAGGGACTTTTGCCCAGTTGAGTCTATAAATATTCTAAAATCTGAAATCTAAACCATTTCTGCTTCCAAGGATTGCAGATAAGCCCTGTGGAGAAAAGCAAACAAGAAGAGAGTGGGAGTGGTGAGTGTAGGTTGGGAGGGTTTCCTTTGAAAAAGAGTGGGCTGAATCCAGGCGTGGTGGGACCTGCCTATAATCCAGCACTCTTGAAGACTGAGGCAGGAAGATAGAAAGTTCAAGTTCCATCTGGACAATTTAGCAAGACCCTGTCTCAAAATTAAAATGGCTGGGGATATAGCTCAGTGCAGAGGCCCTGGGTTCAATCCCTAGTACTTAAAAAAAAAAAAAAATGGTGGGCTGAAGAAGGCCTCACTGAGAAGCTGAGATGTGAGCAGACCGAAGGGTGTGAGAGGTGAAGCCTGTAGGTCTTTGGAAGAGCTGCCAGGCAGAGCAGACCTCCGACATGAAGGCCCTGAGCTCAGGAGCCTCACTAGCCAGCAGAGCTTTCTGCCTAGAGCAGGCAATGCCTGAGGAGGTGGTGTGTCCTCTGGCCTTGGAGATCATCGCAGTTGTGGCCTAGTGCCCAGTGTGAAGGATCAAGTGGGGAGGGGCGGGCAGGTAGCGGGGGAAACAGACCAAACTGGCTATTTGGACAGCTGTGCTGAAGATGGCACCAGTGCAGGGCTGAGGTCCCCCCTGGCAGCCTGTGAGCCCACTGCAGCACTCAGACACATTAATGTGGACCTTCAGGTGTTCTAAGGAAATAGGAAACCAGGCATTGGTGTTTAAAACTTAGAAGAGTTCACGTGAAAGTCCCGATTTCTGGTTTTCTTGAAATACCGTGATCTGGCCAGAGTGAGTCTCCTCCCCTTCCTCCTCCAGGTCCCAAGTGTCTGCAGTAGGGGGCTCTTCATTCCAGAGTTTGCAAGCCCAGCTTCACTCGCCAGACTGGCCCAAGTAGAGGTGCCTGTCCTCCAATCAGTCTTCTCACCAGTGCCCATGGCAGGAAATGAATGGGGAGGGGTGGATTGGGGTGGGAACAGCTGGCTGCCCTTTGAGCTGGGTGGGGAGAAAGGTGAACACCCAAAGGAAACGAGGCTGCCCAAGCCAGAAGCTGGGAAATAGATGCTGGGCAGACAAAGCCCCCTATGACTACTGCAGCTGACGGCTGGCTACTGATGCAAGGCTGTCCTTGGCCTTGATGACCAGGGGCTTGGTCAGATGGAGCCTTTGTCTAACAGCTTAGACATCTGTGGCTTCTGCACCTTGCGACATCCCATACCTGAGGCCACAGCAGCTGCAGCGGTGAAGGTGTGACTTCGTACAAGCTTAGGGCTGGGAGCGTCTGCAGGGCTGTGGGAAGATGTCCACACTTCCTCTTGACACGGCCAGAGGCCATAGCTTCAGCTTCGGGAGTGGCTTCAGCAGACACCTGAGGCACCCCCACGAGCCAGGGAACTGGGGCAGCCGTAGAGAACCCACTTCCACTAGCAGGGCTCGCACGGGTGGTGGGAATTCCCAGGGCTTTCATCCCTGCCTTCCAGAAAGCCCAATGTGGGGGTGATCCTGGAAGGCGAAGGGGTTCTGGTGGGGCCCTTCTGTCCCACTGCCCACTGTCCAGATGGTGCACTGGTCACACAGAAAGGCCCTGGGGCAGCCGGGTCTCTATCTCCTGCTGCCAGCCTCCTCGTTTGCCACTGCCATCACTGCAGGGCTGAGGAAGTCCACCAGGATTCGCCCTGGCCTCCTCCCGCCTTCCTTCCTTCCTTCCCTGGCACCTGTTCTTCCTGAAGAGAGCCCAAGGAAGAAGTTTCCATTGAGAGACCCATAGCACCTCCTGGAACAGCTTCCTCCAGGGTCTCAGGCCTCTTCCGAATGTTTGAAGACCTTGTTGGAGAAACTGCTTTAAATGCTGCCGGGGAGTTGGCAGCTTCTCCCCAGGCTCTCCTGACAGCCTACCCCTGGGGGAGTCTCCTTCCTCCAGGACTCCCCTCTGGGCCACTTCATGCTTCAAACAACTGCCCTGCCCAAGGCAGAGGAAGGGAAAGTTCCAGAAAGTCCCCAGGGCCTTTGGGGCTTCAGGCCCCACCACCTCCTTCCTCAAACTGCCTTGGCTGGTGGGTGCAGAGCTCTAACCCTCCCCCACTTCGTTCCGACCTCTCGGATCGGACCAGCCTCTCTGCACCAGCAGGAAGAGTAGCCAGGTGGGCCCTTGAGCCTGTCTCCTCTGGGGCTTCTCCTTCCATCTCATCCTGGAGGTGTGATCCTTTTATTTCCTCATCTTACAGAAGTAAGTGCCCTTTAAGAAGCTTTTGAAAATGTAGCTAAGTGAGAAGATGGGTGGAAGTCACTGCCCTGACCACCCAAACAGCCATTGTCACCACTTGGGGTGGCTCAGCTGATTTTTTGTTCCATATAATGTGATAAACAATTCATTGAATAATAGATGCACATTATTTTAGTCATTTCTGTTTCCCCATATTTTGAAAATATTCAAGATTGCAGGCTAGGGATTTAGCTCAGTGGTTCTGCCATCTGCCTCGAAAGTGCAAGGACCCAAGTTCGATCCTTGGTACCAAAAACAGACAAACAAACAAAAATATTCAAGTTTGCAAACATGAATATGATCTGAGATAGTGTCAAAAAGTAGAAAATAGCACTGGGGATATAACTTGGTGGTAGAGCACTTACCTTGTATGCACAAGTCCCTGGGTTCAATCCCCAGCACTGCAAAAGAAAGAAAACCAAACAACCAAACTGATTATGATTCTGTAGGTCCAGGAAGGGCGCAAGATTCTGCATTTCTAACAAGCTCTCGAGTGATTCCAGGGCTGGGGTCCCAGACCGGATGCAGAGAAGCACATGTTCTAAAAGCCCCACGCTTAGCTCTTGCTGAGGGGCTGCCCTTTGAAAGCACTGTCTCACCTGCCATTCTCCATGCAGGTTGCTTGTCAGCAATGTGGTGTGAATTCTGTCCACATCACAGCATCAGAGTGTCTTTTTTTTTCTCGTCAGAGTGTCATAGTGCACGCTTTCGCTGCCCAGGGAGACCCCTGTACTCTTACCAGTTCATCTTTCCTCCCCACCATGCCCCTCAGTCCATGGCAACCACTGATCCCTTGTTGTTGAGATTTTCTTTCTTCTTCCAGGGCATGGTGGTACACGCCTGTAATTTTAGCGCTTAGGAGGCTGAAGCAGGAAGCTTGTGAGTTCAAGACCAGCCTGGGCTGCATAGCAAGTTCAAGGCTAGGCTAGACTGTGTAGCAGGACCCTGTCTCCAAAAAATGGCAGAACAGATCCCTCCAGCACTCAGGGCGTCTCCACAGCCCCCGCTGTTATCAGCGTCTTCCTCCGTCCGAGTGAAGCGGTATCACCGAGGTGTGAAGCGGTATCACCGAGGTCTGCAGTGTTGAGCACGTGTTCATGGCTCTCTTCCCCCAGCCCCTGGCAGCTACCGATCTTTTCACTAGCCACAGCTTTACATTTTCCAGTATGTTACATAGTTGGATTTTCTTTTTTCAGTAACAATTTCTCTAAGAACTCAGGTCCAGAAGCTTTTACAAAACATTTGGCATTTCTCATTTGAAGTATGAAATCTTTTTTTTTCATTAAATTTTATTTTATCCCATTCCCCCGCATCCCCTCAAGACCCCTCCCCTCCCTCCATACAAAACCTTTGTTTCCATTTTTTCCCTCTGTTTTCACTTTTTTTCTTGTCCCTTCTCTTTTCCCTCCCTCCTCCCTGTTCCCCTTTCTATTTGAACATTTTCTTCCCATTTCCCAGTATCTATTATACATTTTAGTCCTTATTTTCACTTGCAGTTTCTTACACCAGAGAAACTATGTGGTATTTAAACATGTGTGTCCGATTTATTTCACTTAAGAGCATGGTCTCAAGGTCCATCCATGTAGCTATAAATGTCTGAAGCTCATCCTTCTTTATGGCAGAGTAGTACTCCATTGTATAAAAAACCACATCTTTGTCCATTCGTTGGTTGATTGGCAGTTGGGCTGTTTCCAAGATTTAGCTATTACAGACTGTGCTGCTATAAACATGGGTGTGCATATATCGCTGTGGTATGATGAAGCATGAAATTTTTGAATTGCTTCTCCACATATTCTTCACCCTGCAAGGTCTCAGTATTTGCCTCTTCACTCTTAGGCAGAAGCAGAGCATGGTTTGATGTCACGGATAGTGAAATTAGTCAGATCTAGTTCCAAATCCCAGCTCCACCGTGTAACTTGCTGTGTCATCTTGGAGCCATCACTCCACCTTTGAGCCTCAGTTTTCTTGTGTCTAAAATGACCCTACTTGAGGCACGAGGGTGTAGCTTGGAGAAGCCCTAGGTTCCATCCCCAGCATCACAAATGAAATAACCCTACTGAGAGGCAGAAACTTAGGAGCTAGCATATAAATGTCTAGCATCACTCTTGACACTGTGTGTGACAAGATCTTTTCTTTGGTGTTATATTTGCAATTAGCTGAGAATGTCACCAGCACCCTACGACACATAGTGCTGTGACTGTCTTTATGCAGGTCCTTAGGATCACCACATGGGTGAATCGGGGTGAGACAGAAGACCAGACAGGGACATGGAGCTTGGCATCCTTGCAGGCCAGCTTCAGGTCAGCGAGGAGAGACACGCATATGGACCGCTGCCCCAGCTCCCTGCCGTCTGGAGGCTCCAGGTGGCTTGTGGGAGCAGGAGGTCATGCAGCAGGCCCTAGCACATTTTGCTCCAGCATCTCCATTCCCTCGGTCCTGTCAGATCTGAGAAAGAAGTGGAGCTCTGCTCCATTGCTGCCTCTCATGCACCGTCACCTTTCCAGAAGAGTGCTAAGGACCTGTCCACTCCATTGACGGCACTCTTCACTAGCGCCCAGCTGGTAGCCACACTCAGGGGCACCAGGGCCCCATCCCCTGCCCCAGCCCAGATGCCCCCTCTCTGTCCTTGAAACCCAGTTTCTGGTGGGCCCCAGCTGTGTGTGTGTTTAAGCCCAAGTTACAGAGAAGCCCTTTGATCGGTAGTGCCAGACCTTGGATGTCAGGAAAATACATCCACAGGGACAGGACTTCACCATTCACCAGAGTTCTGGAGGAAAACCAGATCCACTTGGCATGGTGAGCTTGTCCTGCCTAGAGAACCTGTGAAAAAGACCACTTTTCTTTCTTGAGGTGCTGGGGGTTAAACTCAGGGCCTTGCTTACACTAGGCAAATGCTTCACCACTGAGCGTTTACCCCAGCCCAAGAGCACGTCTTGAACAATGGCATAAAGTGTTTAATTAAAGGGACAGGATGAGATGGCATCTACCAAGTGTGAAATTGAAAGCCAGTGGTTAGTTTCTGCCCCAGTCCAGAGCTACCAGCTTTGAGGTGCTCTCAGTGCCTATACAGGCCACTAGATGGCGCACAAGAACACCAGATGGTGCTTGCTGGAGGCGCTTCCCTGTGAGCCACTTGCCAGGCCCGTGGGTTTTCATGCGGCTACACATGCCAGAATCTGTGACAAGGACAGGAACCAGCAGGGGACGTTCATGGTCAACCAAGCACTTGCTGCTGGCACATAGCCCCTGAAAGGTGTCAGTTGCCACCCACATCTGCCGCAGGACACAGGGACTGCATCCTCTTAACCTGTTTGTTTGTCCCCAGAGTGCCTATCAGGAGAAGGCCTGGGCCTGCCACACACGGGGAGCGTTGTGAGACTGGGCCGTAAGGACTGCACTTTCTTTGGTGCCTAAGGTGCTCAGGTCTTGAACCCCCAGGTGTTACGTCTGCCCTCCAGGCTGACTCGGGGCAGGGCAGTGTTCAGGCTCTGAGGACCGGGTGGGTTTGTGTTTCACTTTCCTTACTTTTTACTTAGCTTGTGTGTGAAGAAAGTCTGTGTTTATCTTGTTCTGTTTATCCAGTTTTCTCAAACGCCAGGAAGGGAGCCCAGACAGCAGGAAACACTTGATGCCAGCATGGGCCTGGCCTCATCCATGTTCTGTGTAACCTACACGAGTCCCACTGGAGCCAGTGCCTCACAGACCAGGAATGTTGCCTTTCCCATCTGCCCTGTCCCCAGTAAATAGACCTCAGATCATGTATGGCTGCGTCCACCCCGCACACGATCCAGTAGGAGCCCATGTGTTTCTGGACCCTGTTAACCATTCATAGCAGTACTCAAAAGTAGCTCTCGTGGGGCCCTATGGAGCCACCGTTTGTTGAGTGCTCACCGTGTACCAGGCATGATCCCAGTCCTGGGCTCAGATGTGACTTGCCGTGTTTCCTGTCGCCTCCCTGTACTCTATAAGTGCTGTTAGTGTCTCCGCTTGCTTCTGTAAACCCTGAGACTTGGAGTAACAGTGCTTGGCCAGGTTCGCCCAGATCAGGTTAGCAGAACCTGAACCCCCGACCACTCGCTTTATGTGTGACCCTTTAATCCCTAGGCCAAACCCTCAAAGTAGAGATTGTCTTCTCTGCTTTATGGAGGAGGCCTCAGGCTCAGAAAAGCAGCGTGACCTGGCCAGTGAGCAGCAAAGCCAGGATTCCCTGTTGGCCCCCCAGCTCCTCCTGGCCCTGGCCCTGGCCCTGGCCTACAGCTACAGCTGCAGCTGCGCGGGTTATTTTCATCTCTCCTGTCATTCCAGCCAAACCACTGGGCCAGTGAGTCAGTCATGTGGTCGGGGGAAGAGGGTACTGCTGGGAGCCTGCAGTGGAAGAATTTCCTCCAGTGGGTACCCTAAAGGAAGGGCCCCTTCCCTTTGGTCCCAGCCATGGTTCTGGGCACTCACTGCCCTGGATGAGCCACGAGTCTGCCCCGCAAAGCCTTGGCAGAGGTGGTGGAGAAGCATTCACCTCCAAATGACTTGGATCCCTTGTCCCTTCCACCCAGGTGTCTGCTGTGCCCACTGTGCTGGCCATCAAGAATGGAGATGTGGTGGACAAGTTTGTGGGCATCAAGGATGAGGACCAGCTGGAGGCCTTCCTGAAGAAGCTGATTGGCTGACAAGCAGGGAAGAATCCTTACTGCCCTTGCCCCCTGGGACCCATCTCCTTTCGTCCCCTCCCTCCAAGGCCCATGGCAGTTCTTCCAAGATGCTAGCTCGAGCCTGGGGCCACCCTGCAGTGTAGCTGTCCAGGCAGCAGCAGTTTGGGGCTCATCTCCTTGGTCTGATCTGAACCCCGAGCCTGGCTTATCAGCCTCCTGCATTTGACTTTCCTGCTGCTCTTTTGTAAAAAGAAAAAGGAAACCAAAAGCCAAGCAAGTGAGAGTAATATATAATTCTCTTGTTTTTTGTAGGTCTGTAATAAAGACCTTTATGTGATCTCTTCTGCCTCCTGCTATGAAGAACAGACCTTGGGGGCCCTGCACTCAGATCCCGTGTGGCCGCCCCAGCCCCACCCCCAGAGCCCCCTCCTTTCCTTTCCGCCTTCTCTCCTAGGCACGGGACAGAAAACAGTGCTGGGCCGCGGGAGCCCTGCAGCCCCTTGACCTGCAAAGCTCCAGGCACCATCTTCCTCGCCACTGGCCAGCACCTTGGTTCTGTGAGCGGGAGGCTTAACTAAACAAACCAGACCAATAAACCTGGGGCTTGCGCTGTCGGCAGCTTCCATCCTGTCTGGCACTGAGCATAGGGACAGTGCTTGGCTCTGTGGCTGTCTCTGTCCTCTGACTCTCCACCACCCTCTCCCTAACCAGGCCCTCCTGACCCTAATGCTCTTGTCTGTGGCGACTGCCATTCTGGGGACACCACACATCTTCATGGCCTCCTAATGCCAGAGGGTGCTGTCCATGTTACCCAGACAGGGACTCAAGCTCACATGCTGATCCACCTGATCCTATGGGCTCTCCTTCCAGTGACTGGCTCCTGGCCACTCTCAGGCGCCAGGCCCCTGAGAGCATTGGCCTTCCTTCCCACCATGCCTGCAGCAAATCCGGAGCCTTGGCAGCAGCCTGCACCTCTACCTGTCCTGGTTCCCTGCTCCCCTCCAGCCAAGATGGCCCAGCCTCCTTCCCAGGGCCTAGGGCCACGCTGACTCAGTTGCCTCTGTGAGCTGCCAGCTCCTTGCAGGTCTTGGGTACTCAGTAGCAGGGCTGTCCTGACACCCTGCTCTTCGGCCCTAGGCATGCTTGTCCAAGGGCATCTGCGTCATTCCAGTGGCTCTCCCTGTTCCCATTAGGACTGCCCGAAGCTTGGAGTCTACCCAGAACTGCCTTGGGAAGGCTGCCACTGCTGATGCAGGGGAGGGCTGACTCAGAAGAGAGACCTGTGGCTTCTGAAAGATCGCAGGTCCATGATCTGTAAATGGCAAATGGAGGGCCGGGGATTTAGCTCAGTGGTTCTGCCACCTCCCTCGTAAGCACAAGGTCCCGAGTTCGATCTCTGGTACCAAAAAAATAAATTAGACCATGTAAATGGCCAATGGAAACAAAAGCCAGCAAGTGGCAGTAGTGGAAAAGGAAGCTTGAATGATGACTTCCTGCAAAGGCTACAGGCTGTGAGCAAGAGGAATGAGAGCTGGTGTTCAGAGGCACCACCCATATCCTATGTCTCCCCTCAGTAGCCCCAGGAGGGGAGTTTTAGGGGCCTCATTCACCTGTCCCAGGCGAGACCTACACAGAATTTACCAAGCATGTCCAAGGTCATGGAGCAGTGAGTGGCCTGACTAGGGTCGCAGGCCCAAGCATTACCTTCCAGTCATTGTAGAAAACGATTGAGACCAGGTGTGGTCGTACACACTTGTAATCCTAGCACTTGGGAGGCTAAAGGCCAGCCTGGGCTGCACAGTGAGCTCAAGGTCAGCCTGAACTACATAGCAAGACCCAGTCTCAAAAACCAAAAAAAGTGGAGTCAGTTTGACCTGAGCTGACAGGGCAGGCAAGCCTTGTCAGCTCATTTTACACAAGAGATGCTGATTAAAGGTTGAGTAACACTCAGCCAGTGGGTAGGGGGTGGGCCCTTCCCCTGCACCCCACTGCCACTCCTTAAAAGGTACCCTTCGCCAAGCACTTTCTACATGCATTACCTCATTTAATTCCACTCTTGTGAGGCAAGTAGTATTTCCATAGTATAAGTGAAACCGGTCTGGAGAAATTGACTTGCCCGAGGTCACATCTAAAAGTGACCTTGGTAAATATGAACCCAGGTCGGGAGGGTCCAACCCCTTCACTTTTAAGGGTATGGAAAGTTGGCAGAGGCCTGGGTCCACCAGCAGGGCCTCACCACCCTGAGCTTCCCGGCATTAAAAGGTGCCTCACCAGGTAAGGGGAGCCTGAGGCCAGAACCACGGCTATCCTGTGTTGGCAGTGTGTCACGGAGGCTGCCGCTGGCTGAGTCACTGGCTGTGAGCAGAGTGAGCAGGGTGATGCTAATTCCGCAGTGCTGATCTCACTGGGGCCACGCTGGCTGTCAGCAACCCTGCTATGACCTTGAGTGGCTTGTAGGGCTCCAGGACCGGAGTGGGGGACACATCTGCAGGGACATCACAGACAGCTGCTTAACGCCTTTCACCCCCAGGTGGGGAAGCCCACAAGGGGGGCAAGGGTGCAGCTCACCCTCAGCCCCAGAGCATCCTGGAGTGTGGCTTCCCACCTTTATTCTCCTGGCCCGCAGCATTTGGAATGAATGTTGTGTGGTCACTAACATGGCTTCCTTCGAAATGTGCAAGACACAGGAGGGAGACTGACCTTGCCCACAAGGAGTTTAAGTGCCAAAGAGCCCAGAGCAAGGACCTGCGTGGCTCCTGAGCAGCTGTTGAGAGTGTGAGGGGACCTGGGCTGTCATCAGCCTCCCTCCTGAGGCCACAGGGAAGGGCAGACTACACCTTTGGGTAGAGCTGGGTTTCAAACCCAAGAGCCCTGACTTTCACTGCGCTAAAGCAACAGTGAGTCTCGGATGGCCCTTTCTGCCCTCAGCTGCAGAGGCGAATTCAAAGGGTGGATTCCAGGTCCAGGACCTGTGGGCCCAAGAGGATGTTGATGGTGCTGTCACCACTGCCCTTCCCAGCAGTACCTGCCCAGCACGGGGGCCCCCTCACCATTGAGGGAAAATTTTTCTGGAAAGTGAAGGCAGTTCTGGCCGGGCTGCGGAAATCCCTCATGTGGACCTGGGATGGGAAGGGCCTGAAAACAATGCTGGGCCACGTCCTCGGTGGGCAGGATGCCGCTGCAGCTCCTCACTGCCCGGAACACCAGTGGCAGGCGTGACCCTGAACCCCGGCCTGGGCTGGGGTCTGTGGCGCCACAGGAAATCTGGGCAGGAACCATCAGCTCTGGGTTCACATCCCACCCTGGTACCTGCTAGTTGCGTGACCTCATACAAGCTGCTCAGTTTTTACATTGCTGAAGTGAGGGTGATGATGGTGGCTCACACTCACAAAGCACGTTACCTGTGTGATCTCACCAAATCTTCACAGCGACCTCCAAAGGCAGGGATGGCTGTCAGGCCATTTTACAGATGAGCAAAACCGAGGCTCCATGAGCGTAACTTGGCATGAAGGAGTCTCAGAGCTTGGATTCCAACCCAGATGTGTTGGACCCCAAAGTTTCTGTTTGTTACCTGCTAGCCAGACTGCTTACCTTCTGAACCAAGGTTTTTCACCAATCTGAGCCCCAACTGTATCCCATGCAAATTAGGCCCTGAGGAGGACTAAGTGGCACAGCAAGTGGCAGCACTTTGTCACCTGGGGGGAGGCAGGACAAGTGTCGGCCGCTTTGCTTCCCTGCCCAGCTCTGTTGCTCTAAGCTGCAGCTCAAACAGGAAACACCAGCTTCCCAAGATAAGGCCCCAGCACCCATGGGAGGGGGGTGGGGGGCAGTACCAGGCTTATATTGGGCCTGGTGTGCCAGCCCTGACCCCACCACTGCCCCTCCCTCTACGCTTGGCTAGCCCTGGGAAGCCAGAGGTGGTGACCTCACCCTTGGAGAATGCCCACTGGAATTCACCCTGAGTCCTGGCTGTCCGCCTCCAGCTACTTCTGATTGGCTCTCCCTGCGGCCAGGCCAGTGGGGGCGTCGAGGTGAGCTGGGACACCCTGCCTGCTATGCAGCTGCTGTGTACTAACTGCACTAACCGTGGCTGCCTAAGGGTGAGCGCGGACAGGTAGCTGTCTGTCTCTGGCCTGTTGCCCCGTGTTTTCTCTAACTTCTGTTCCCATTTCCCATAAGTGAAGACCAAGGCCCAGAGAGGTGGTGAGAGCTGCCCGGGGCCACACCCAGGGAAGGGCCACACCCAGCAGGAGCTTCCCTTCACTCGGGACCCACTCCTAAAGCAAGAATCTGCTCCCCATCTAGACACAATGACCTTGGCCAGCACATGTGTGAACGCCTCTACATACTGTAGTGATAGGAATTTTAGGGGATGCAGACCCTCCAACGTGTGAAGCTGGGATGTGGGGGGCTAAGTGTGCGAGGCCCCCCCAGGAGCTGGAGGCATCCTCAGGCCACATCCACCCAGCTCCAGTACTGGTCCTCTCCCTTGCTGGCACGGCCTGTTCTGTTCATCTCTCCTACAGTAGGACAGACCCCTCTCAGTGGAGAGACCAACAGGAGATACTAAAAGGATGACAGTGCAGCAATGGGATGAGCGCCTATGAAAAGTTCTGTGATCGCTGTGTGGCAGGCATGTGCATTCATTTGCTGCTGTGACAAAATAGCCCAGATGGGACTTAAGTAACAGAAACGTATTCTCTCCAAGTCTGGAGGCTGGAAGTCCAAGGATGGGTGGGCAGCGTTGGTTTCTCCTGAGGCCTCTGTCCTTGGCTTGAGGACAGCCACCTACTCTCTCACTGTCCCATATGGCGTGTCTCTCGTGTCTCTTTATGTGTCCAAATGTCCCCTTCTTATAAAGGCCACCCATCAGATCGGATTAGGACCCATCCTAATGGTCTCATTTTAACATAATCTCCTCTTTAAAAGCCTGACTCCAAATATTGCCACATTCTGAAGTACAGAGGGCTGGGGCTTCAACCCCTTTTGGGGGCACAAGTCAGCTCATGACAGAGCGGTTACATAATTTAACGATGAAGTTGTACAGATTGCTGGGCTGGTTCCTGAAACTCCAGCATATTGACTCTGTTTTGTTTTGCTTTTGTCCTAGAGATGGTCCTGAGGGCCTTCACATTGAGCTACATCCCTAGCCCTTTTCTTACTTTTTATTTTGAGACAAAGTCTTACTAAATCACTCAGTTGCCCAGGCTGGGTTCAAATTTACAATCGTCCTGCCTCAGCCTCCCCGAGTGCTGGGATTACAAGTGTGTACCACCACACTGAGCTCATATTAACTAATTTAATGCTCAGGTGAGCTGAGGAGTAGGTCCTGTAATTAATTCCAGTTTATGATGAGGAAACTGTGGTGATACAGGGGAAATAATGTAACTCTCAACCTGTTAGGTGTCAGATATGCTGAGTTTGTGTTCCTCAAAATCAAAGAATGAATTCTAAGGAACCACAGAGGTTGAGTGGGAAATTTTGTTTTGTTTTGTTTTTTGTACTGGGGATCGAACTCGGGTCCTTGTGCTTGCGCAGCAGACAGCGAAACCACTGAGCTAAATCCCCGGCCCAGAGTAGGAAATTTTATTGAGAGAGATATCTCCTGAAGACAGGAATGGGTCTGCCTCCTGGGTTGCCA